GAAAAGAACATATAATATTACATGAATAAACTCACCCATCTAAAGACTAACAATTAATTAACGAAAGCATCATTCCCAGTCACTACAATCAATTTTCACCTTCCAACGTGCCCCTTTCCAATTTTCCTTTTTCTAAATTTACATTCCAACCAGTTTTAATTTTTAGAGAATCATGCCGATAACTTGTTATAAAAGAGAAAAAATAGAAAGAAAATATAAGAGTCAAAACTCAAGTATCTCCTTTATTGAGAACCAGGAACCATATTTATCGGGTCCAAAATAAGAGTTATAATTAGAATAAAATAAATCTTCTAAACTAGATAAAACTTATCTATATATCACAATAACACTAAAAAATCATCAATAATTATCTAATTATTTTGCAGCGGATGCATAATTTAATGGCACTTTTGAAGTAAGCAATATTAAGAGGGTGTTTGGTGGGGACCAAAATTAGATTTTTTTAGTAGATTGTGATAAAAGTTTTTTTAATTATATGATTGAAAAGTTATGGGACCTACGAAAGATATAATTAATATTGATTGTTTGACTTTGTTTTAAATTAAAATCAAATTTTAATCCAAACAAAATAGACTCTAAATTGCCCCAAAATTGGATATTATTAACAATTTCAAAAGTAGTGGACAAAATTCAATTTCTCACCGTAAAAACATCATATGATTTAAATTCTTAGTTTATAATCGGTAAGCGATTATGTACTATCAATGTCCTGCTAGGTATTGTTTAGCCTCTGTTTGTCTCCCGTTAAAATAAAAAAATTTAGTTTTCATATTTATTTTAAATCACGCATTTACCCAAAAAAATATTTTACATGTAAAATCAAAACTTTTCCTTACTTTTTAGCCACACACTCTCCAATAAATGATTATTTAAAGTATCACTTTTTGAAATAATTGTCATCAAACAGGGACTTAATTTTAATTGCACTTACATAAATTATACATGCAGATAATAGTTCAAATTTCAATTTATACAAATCTACAATATTTAAAAAAATGAAGGATTGATGTGAAACTTTGGAATATTAATTTTACCCTTATACATTTAGCTATATGCCCAATATACCATTACTTAATTTTAATTTTGTTAATATTTACTTAATAACATTAATTTAATTATTCAAAATGAAATAAAAAATTCATTTGCTTTTTTTCATTTGTAAATAATTCCCTAAACTAATCTTTTTAATCTTGCATTAATTTTTATTAACATCATTAATTCAATTCATTCAATATGAAATTGAAAAACAGGCATTGTTTTGAGGAAATCAGAGGATGGCTTTCAATTCTCCTTTTGATATTAAAAAATAAAAAATAAAATCTTTTAATTTAATCAATAGCATTAATTTTAAATAATTTTGAAAAATGAATGTTGTTAAGGAGCTCAAATAAGGTCTTAAATAACAAATAAGGTCTTAGATAACCATTCATAGAAAACAAAAATATATTTTTTAATTTGATTAACAGCATTAATTCAATTATCTTAAACTTTAATTTCCACAATTATAAAACACACGTTCTAATTGATGAACCACGTTTTTTTTCGATGGAATGGTGATTAATTCAGCCATCAATGTCTATGAGCTTCTTCAATGCCTAGATTTGTATAAATTCAATGTACCCTCTCGATTTTTGTGTCTAATATTCACACGTGTGCATACTTTACTTTCTAAACTTGATTAATTGACATATTTATATTCAAATAGATCATATAAGAATTTTGTTAAGTGAAGATAAGAATTCCTTTTTTTCCCTTCAGATCTTTATATGTTTTGATTTGTAATTGCATTCTGTATTTTAAATTTTTATCAATATTCATGAAAATGTTATAAATGATTTTTTTTGAATTTATAGATTTATTATGTTGTTTGTGGTGATGATGTGCAGCTCGAGGGAGTAGATTAAGGCTTGAAGACTACAAAATTGACGATGTAAAGCGTGGTCATCAATTTTTGTACAAAATTTGTCCTACATTTTATAGATTTTATGGTTTTTTCCCTTGAAGATAACAACAAGAATATTGCCTAAGCGTACGAAATTAAGGGATTATATCACGAGTGTCGAAACAATGGAGGAAAATCGAAATGGTCTACATTGAGGCAAGTGATTCAAAATTGCAAATATATATTTAGAGCCCGTTCGAACCCTATTATTTCCTAAATGTATTTTGGAATAACAGATTGATGAATAATGTGTGGTTAAAAAAATAAGGAAAATTTTTATGTTTGTACGTAATATTATTTTATTGAAGAATGTATGGTTGAAAATAAGAGAAAAAATGTATTTTAAAAATAATGAAGATCAAACAATGGCTTTTACATATTTTTTTATACATAAGGATATACACCCTTTCACATGACGTGGGGACCACTCGAATATTTTATTTTAGCGAACCCCACCCACGTGAGGGGGTGAACACCCCTGTATACCAAAAATTAAGTACCACAAGCGTTTCCCATAGAATTAATTTTACCTACCGTCACTAAAGTTTGTTAAAAATTTTAAAATAGCTATTGAAGTAATTTTCTTAATTATAGATATAGTTAGTAAAATTTTCAGCAGTTGCACTAACAATTATCCAGCAAGCAACATTAATTCCTAAATGTAATTGTTAATTTCAACGTTGACACAGAAGGTAGGGCATTTTTGTATCACAACGTACTAGTTAAAGCTATTACTATTAGCGTCAACAATGGAATTTAATAATAATGCGTAAGGTTTTAAGTTAACGTTTTCAGTTGAGTGATCATTATATAATTTTCAAAAATTTAAGTGACTAACAAACTTTAAGGATCATTACTGAAATTAGCTCTATTAAAATATAAACATAACCATACATAGTGACACGCTATTACAACCAATCAAAGATTAACAATATTAATAAAAAATAAGTTCGAATTGAGACATTGGGGTATGGTTGGGTGGATTGGGGTGAGCATACGGGAAAATGAAGCATGTTAGCAATTTTTTTGGGGGGAAAAAAATCATATAAAAAAATCTCATATTTCATCGTAGTCCAGTGTCTCCACCTCCAAAATCACTAATTAAATAATCAATTTTTCAATCATTGAGATCATGCAAATTTTCACTAAATTATCATATTATTATGAAAGAATGTCTTTGTTTAGCTTTTTGGTCACTTGAGCTAAGTTGAGAAGTTAAACATAACATGACTTTATAAAGTTAGACAATGAGAACATTGAGAATACCACATGATAATTTATGGATATTTGGATAGTTAGTGTCATTGGTAACCCATTGCACAACTATATTTTAAGAATGTAAGGTCGTGGTTGGTTTGCTGTTTTCGAACCATTTTCAATTTTTCCTTTTCGAAAACGAGTTAAAATTTATAACTGAAAATGCAAAACACTTTTTATCGTTTTCAGTTATAAATATCGAAAACCCTCAAAACGCGGAAAACGGGCTGTTTTCGGGGAAAACTAAAAATCGTTTTCAAAATGAAAATGGAAAATGAAAATGAAAACCAACCGCACACTAAGTTTATTTCTTGTGTTTTGAAGGCAAGGAATTACAGTGCTAACGGAACTATGACTTGAGGACCAATGTTTCAATTTGCCTATATAAAATTAACTTAGGGAATGTATTCAATTTGGACTTTTTAAGACATTGATGGACTCCTTTTAAAGGATGACTTCTGTAGATTTAGTTGATTTTTTAATGAATTTGTATGAAATTATTGGAAATCTTTTATAGATTTTTATGAATTTTTATTTTAAAACTATTATACACTTTTATAGAATTAAAATTGTAATTCATATTTTTCATGAGCAATAGTCAATATTCTTCTGTAATATTGAAAATTATAATTCATACTCTTCGAGAGCAAATAATATTCTTCTAGAATATTAAAAAAAATATAGTTAATGTTCTTTAGGAGCCATATATTATTTTATAGAGGTGAGTTTCTTCTTGAACAACAACGATTAATAATGAATTAAGTACAATAGTATGAAATTCTCGTATACGAAATGTTGGTTCCCACTTAATTTCCCTTCCCCTCGTCATACAATAAAAAAAATTTAACAAGAACAAAAATTTAAGATCTTAAATAAATAAATAATCATTTAAAAATAAATTTAATATTCAGTATTATTAAATATAATATACCTTTAAATAATAAAAAATCAATATATTTAAATATAATTATTAATTAGTCTATATAAAGTTTTATAATTTAATTAAAAATAGATTTTTTTTCACAAAAAATGAATGATAAAAGGAAAAAAGTTTAAGAATCTATTTTAACTTTTTTAATAGAAAATAGAGATAAAAAAATAAGAGAGAGAGAGAGATAGAAACAAATATAATCAATAGAGAACAATTTTAATTATAACTCCAATGTTTGTAGAAGGAAAAGGAAAGAGAAATATTGACCCAAAAAATTATAATTTTTTTTTTTTTTTTTTTGGGAAAAGTTTTCCAAAATCTTGTGATTAATTGAGAGACAATTTTTGAGATTTTATTCTAGTAATTTCCACTTAGAAGTTACTAACTTGGAGACTTTAATAAAAGCCTCTAAAAATCATTAAAATTTGAATATTTCAAGAATTATAGAAGCTTCTAAAAATTTTAATTGAATAAACTATAATTTTTAGAGATTTTTATAAAAGTCTCAATTAAATATATAATATCTTTAGAATCCAAACAAGCCCAAGCTTAAGCTTATACCATCGTAAAGCCTCTTAGGGAATAATATACCATCGTAAAGCTTCGTTTGATATCATTTTTTTTTTAAAATGCATTTTTCTCCTTTTTTTTCAGCAACACATTCTTTATTAAAATAATATTATACGTAAATTCAAAATTTTTTCTTATTTTTTAACTACACATTTTTTATCAATTTACTATTCAAAAATACATTTTTACAAGAAAATGGGTATCAAACAAACACTCTCGAATGTATCTAAATTTTTTAAATTTTAGAAAGTTATAAAGTCCAATTAAATACGCCAAGACGATAGTCTCTGCCATTTATTTTCGATTCAAAACAAACTCAAAAAATAAGGCGGCTACTCACCTCAATCATTCCCGCCACTGTATAAATTCTCTTTCTCTCTCAGAGATTCAATCGGAAAGCCAAATTGAGGAGCACCGCTTCGCTAGATATGGTATGGCAAAGTACGTTGCGTTTTTATGCGATTTTTATTTGTTGGATTTAACTCTAGTATTTTGTTATAATAGATCCTAACTGTTAACTGTTTTAATTTAATAGAGGGAGATCTGCGTATGATATGATTTGAGTTGTGTGAAGTTCATCGAGAAATCTCGATTTCATTTTGGCGCTGTGTAAAGTTTGGTATTGTTTGGATTTTAGAAAGTAGATGTTTTAATTGATTTATCAAACTGGAAATATATCATGTTTGGACCCTAACTTTTCACTGTTTTAATAGATGGAAACCTGCTCATGCTTTGATTTGTGTTCTTTGAATTCCATTAAAAATTCTCATTTTCACTGCTACGCTGTGTATATTCGTATATAGTTTGGATTTCAGTACACAAATGGATTGGAAGCACGTTGGCTACGCTTTAAAACATCTGTTTTTGGCAGCATCATGCTCATTATGAATCGGGAAATATATCACGTATTTTTTTCTTGCAGTGCCGTATGGATTTTATTTGCACCCTGGCAATTATGAACGAATTTGAAAATTCGCAAAAAAGAAAAAGGAGTCTACATATTTAAATAACTTGCCTATTAGGTACAAATGTAGGCACAACAGCTCAATTTTAGCTTTTTGATAAGCTTTTTAGGGTCAATCTTCAGTTAGCATTTATAATAATTTTTGGCAATAAATTGCTAATCTGTTCAAAGAACCGGCTTGTAAATAAACCTGTCCTCAGCTCTCTCAGATTTTCAGATCAATCTTTATAAGTTTTCCTTGTACAGACCTCATACGAAGCCTGACTAATAGATTTGTTTAGAATCCTAATATTGGAATTATGAATGGGGGAACTTAATCAGTTTGATTGGTTTTAGAAATCCAATAAAAGGAGTATGTTGGAAGCCTTTTATATGCCCCATGTAGTGTTTTAAACGGATTGTGATTCAAGGGAAATGTACATAATGAAGTGAGATTTTATGGCACATCTGGCTGTTGATTTGAGGCATCTATTTTAGAGGGCTTTAAATGAGATGAGCTGAGGAGTGAGAACTTATCTGGAGAGGAAGTATGCTGTGTAGCCAACTTGATGGACTAAATCAAATGTAACTTTGTGTAAGGAAATCTGATGATAGAAGCTCGAAGGTGTAATATTTACTTCTTGGCTACCGTTTGTATGATGCCCATCTGCATGTATGTAGAGTTTTATAGTATAATTGTTGGATACAATGCCTTAGGCCCTCAATAGAGAATGCATGTCCTTGTTTCTTTGTTTTTCATTTTTCTTTCCCTGACCAGTTGGAAAAGAATCTGTTAACACTGTGCATTATATTATACTGTTTTATAGACTTGTACTTGAGACATAATTTTTGTAGCTTCCAAGTGGAAATCTATGTGCAATAATATCAGTATACTGTATAAGCATCAAAGCCTGGTTTCAACTGTTTTTTGGGGGATTTGGCATGAATTTTTAACAAGAATAAATTTTAAAATATTTTTTTATATGCAGCGAACTTGCCATGAGATCCACTAGACAGGTAAAGAGGAAGTTCAATGAAGCTTGTAAAAAGCAAAATGAAAGCAGATGTGGTTCTGTGAAGAAATCTGCAAATGGAACTGGCAGAGGAGATAGAAAATCAGGTTAGGCAACTGAAAACCATATACAAAACACATTAGTATATTGATGAGTTTGTTCAACTAACTATTTAGATCTATTCATTTGATAACTTTCTTGAATCTTTAGTTTTGTGCATTTTGACTTTCAAAGCCCTGTCTGTCTGTTGTTGTATTGTGCATTCTCTGCAAAAGGAGACCATGTTGATAAGGTCTAGGTATATATCTTTTGTAGTCTCCAGGCGGTCTTTCTCATTTCACGAATCTTCTTTTCCACAGCAGAATGTAAATCTATAATGCTAGATAGGAATCCGGGGGTTTTACCATGCAGAGTTGCTCCATTATCTGGTCAAACGATGCCAAGTAGCATATTTGCTATAGAGAGTGGGAGAAATCCTCCGTCAGATTTTCAGATTCACCAGAAAAATTCATCAGCAAAGATTATACTGCAGCTTTTCCCCTTAAATGAAAATACTCGACTGGGATTGGAAAAGGTCTTATCTTAATCCCAAAGCATGAATTCTTTTACATCAATTCAGAAATGCTCACTGGGCCACAAACATGCTACAGCTACAGTGACCAGGACAATTGGTCATTTATTTGCAGTATTTTACTATTAAAATTGAATTTTTTCATTTGGCCTTCATCTTACAGGATGGTTATAATCCATTTTTGGAACTCTCTTTAAGTGCTGGGAAGAAGATATCATCGGTGATTAAGAATGTCTTTGTTTAGCTTTTTGGTCACTTGAGCTAAGTTGAGAAGTTAAACATAACATGACTTTATAAAGTTAGACAATGAGAACATTGAGAATACCACATGATAATTTATGGATATTTGGATAGTTAGTGTCATTGGTAACCCATTGCACAACTATATTTTAAGAATGTAAGGTCGTGGTTGGTTTGCTGTTTTCGAACCATTTTCAATTTTTCCTTTTCGAAAACGAGTTAAAATTTATAACTGAAAATGCAAAACACTTTTTATCGTTTTCAGTTATAAATATCGAAAACCCTCAAAACGCGGAAAACGGGCTGTTTTCGGGGAAAACTAAAAATCGTTTTCAAAATGAAAATGGAAAATGAAAATGAAAACCAACCGCACACTAAGTTTATTTCTTGTGTTTTGAAGGCAAGGAATTACAGTGCTAACGGAACTATGACTTGAGGACCAATGTTTCAATTTGCCTATATAAAATTAACTTAGGGAATGTATTCAATTTGGACTTTTTAAGACATTGATGGACTCCTTTTAAAGGATGACTTCTGTAGATTTAGTTGATTTTTTAATGAATTTGTATGAAATTATTGGAAATCTTTTATAGATTTTTATGAATTTTTATTTTAAAACTATTATACACTTTTATAGAATTCAAAAGACTTTTCAAAACTTTCATTTAGAATATAATTCATGTAAATTTAGTACAATAGTATGAAATTCTCGTATACGAAATGTTGGTTCCCACTTAATTTCCCTTCCCCTCGTCATACAATAAAAAAAATTTAACAAGAACAAAAATTTAAGATCTTAAATAAATAAATAATCATTTAAAAATAAATTTAATATTCAGTATTATTAAATATAATATACCTTTAAATAATAAAAAATCAATATATTTAAATATAATTATTAATTAGTCTATATAAAGTTTTATAATTTAATTAAAAATAGATTTTTTTTCACAAAAAATGAATGATAAAAGGAAAAAAGTTTAAGAATCTATTTTAACTTTTTTAATAGAAAATAGAGATAAAAAAATAAGAGAGAGAGAGAGATAGAAACAAATATAATCAATAGAGAACAATTTTAATTATAACTCCAATGTTTGTAGAAGGAAAAGGAAAGAGAAATATTGACCCAAAAAATTATAATTTTTTTTTTTTTTTTTTGGGAAAAGTTTTCATTATTATTATTATTAAATGATTAGAATGAGAAACTCTTATTTTCCATATTTTTCCTGGGCCGGAAATTTTAAAGAGACTCCTTATCTAGATAATATTTCTTGAAGAATTAAAAATCAATTTTAAATACAAGACCCTGTCAATTACATGAGAAATTAATGGAAGTATGAAAAGAACATATAATATTACATGAATAAACTCACCCATCTAAAGACTTACAATTAATTAACGAAAGCATCATTCCCAGTCACTACAATCAATTTTCACCTTCCAACGTGCCCCTTTCCAATTTTCCTTTTTCTAAATTTACATTCCAACCAGTTTTAATTTTTAGAGAATCATGCCGATAACTTGTTATAAAAGAGAAAAAATAGAAAGAAAATATAAGAGTCAAAACTCAAGTATCTCCTTTATTGAGAACCAGGAACCATATTTATCGGGTCCAAAATAAGAGTTATAATTAGAATAAAATAAATCTTCTAAACTAGATAAAACTTATCTATATATCACAATAACACTAAAAAATCATCAATAATTATCTAATTATTTTGCAGCGGATGCATAATTTAATGGCACTTTTGAAGTAAGCAATATTAAGAGGGTGTTTGGTGGGGACCAAAATTAGATTTTTTTAGTAGATTGTGATAAAAGTTTTTTTAATTATATGATTGAAAAGTTATGGGACCTACGAAAGATATAATTAATATTGATTGTTTGACTTTGTTTTAAATTAAAATCAAATTTTAATCCAAACAAAATAGACTCTAAATTGCCCCAAAATTGGATATTATTAACAATTTCAAAAGTAGTGGACAAAATTCAATTTCTCACCGTAAAAACATCATATGATTTAAATTCTTAGTTATTTAATTATATGATTGAAAAGTTATGGGACCTACGAAAGATATAATTAATATTGATTGTTTGACTTTGTTTTAAATTAAAATCAAATTTTAATCCAAACAAAATAGACTCTAAATTGCCCCAAAATTGGATATTATTAACAATTTCAAAAGTAGTGGACAAAATTCAATTTCTCACCGTAAAAACATCATATGATTTAAATTCTTAGTTATAATCGGTAAGCGATTATGTACTATCAATGTCCTGCTAGGTATTGTTTAGCCTCTGTTTGTCTCCCGTTAAAATAAAAAAATTTAGTTTTCATATTTATTTTAAATCACGCATTTACCCAAAAAAATATTTTACATGTAAAATCAAAACTTTTCCTTACTTTTTAGCCACACACTCTCCAATAAATGATTATTTAAAGTATCACTTTTTGAAATAATTGTCATCAAACAGGGACTTAATTTTAATTGCACTTACATAAATTATACATGCAGATAATAGTTCAAATTTCAATTTATACAAATCTACAATATTTAAAAAAATGAAGGATTGATGTGAAACTTTGGAATATTAATTTTACCCTTATACATTTAGCTATATGCCCAATATACCATTACTTAATTTTAATTTTGTTAATATTTACTTAATAACATTAATTTAATTATTCAAAATGAAATAAAAAATTCATTTGCTTTTTTTCATTTGTAAATAATTCCCTAAACTAATCTTTTTAATCTTGCATTAATTTTTATTAACATCATTAATTCAATTCATTCAATATGAAATTGAAAAACAGGCATTGTTTTGAGGAAATCAGAGGATGGCTTTCAATTCTCCTTTTGATATTAAAAAATAAAAAATAAAATCTTTTAATTTAATCAATAGCATTAATTTTAAATAATTTTGAAAAATGAATGTTGTTAAGGAGCTCAAATAAGGTCTTAAATAACAAATAAGGTCTTAGATAACCATTCATAGAAAACAAAAATATATTTTTTAATTTGATTAACAGCATTAATTCAATTATCTTAAACTTTAATTTCCACAATTATAAAACACACGTTCTAATTGATGAACCACGTTTTTTTTCGATGGAATGGTGATTAATTCAGCCATCAATGTCTATGAGCTTCTTCAATGCCTAGATTTGTATAAATTCAATGTACCCTCTCGATTTTTGTGTCTAATATTCACACGTGTGCATACTTTACTTTCTAAACTTGATTAATTGACATATTTATATTCAAATAGATCATATAAGAATTTTGTTAAGTGAAGATAAGAATTCCTTTTTTTCCCTTCAGATCTTTATATGTTTTGATTTGTAATTGCATTCTGTATTTTAAATTTTTATCACTATTCATGAAAATGTTATAAATGATTTTTTTTCTTTGAATTTAAAGATTTATTATGTTGTTATTGGTGATGATGTGCAGCTTGAGGGAGTAGATTAAGGCTTGAAGACTACAAAATTGACGATCTAAACTGTGGTCATCAATTTTTGTACATAATTTGTCCTACATTTTTATAGATTTTATGGTTTTTTTCCCTTGAAGATAATAACAAGAATATTGCCTAAGCGTACGAAATTAAAGGATTATATCACGAGTGTCGAAACAATAGAGGAAAATCGAAATGGCCTACATTGAGGCATGTGATTCAAAATTGCAAATTTATATTTAGAGCCCGTTCGAACCTTATTATTTCCTAAAAATGTATTTTGGAATAGTAGATTGATGAATAATGTGTGATTAAAAAATAAAGAAAATTTTTATGTTTGTATGTAATATTATTTTATTGAAGAATATGTAGTTGAAAATTAAAAAAAAAATTATTTTAAAAATAATGATGATCAAACAATGGCTTGTACACAATTTTTTATACATAAGAATATCCACCCTCTCACATGACATGGGGACCACTCGAATATTTTATTCTAGCGAACCCCACCCACGTGAGAGGGTGAACACCCCTATATACCAAAAATTATGTACCACAAGCGTTTCCCATGGAATTAATTTCACCTACCGTCACCAAAGTTCGTTAAAAATTTTAAAATAGCTATTGAAGTAATTTTCTTAATTATAGAAATAGTTAGTAAAATTTTCAGCAGTTGCACTAACAATTACCCAGCAAGCAACATTAATTCCTAAATGTAATTGTTAATTTCAACGTTGACACAGAAGGTAGGGCATTTTTGTATCACAACGTACTAGTTAAAGCTATTACTATTAGCGTCAACAATGGAATTTAATAATAATGCGTAAGGTTTTGAGTTAACGTTTTCAGTTGAGTGATCATTATATAATTTTCAAAAATTTAAGTGACTAACAAACTTTAACGATCATTACTAAAATTAACTCTATTAAAATATAAACATAACCATATATAGTGACACGCTATTACAACCAATCAAAGATTAACAATATTAATAAAAAATAAGTTCGAATTGAGACCTTGGGGTGTGGTTGGGGTGAACATACGGGGAAAATGAAGCATGTTAGCAATTTTTTTGGGGGGAAAAAAATCATATAAAAAAATCTCATATTTCATCGTAGTCCAGTGTCTCCACCTCCAAAATCACTAATTAAATAATCAATTTTTCAATCATTGAGATCATGCAAATTTTCACTAAATTATCATATTATTATGAAAGAATGTCTTTGTTTAGCTTTTTGGTCACTTGAGCTAAGTTGAGAAGTTAAACATAACATGACTTTATAAAGTTAGACAATGAGAACATTGAGAATACCACATGATAATTTATGGATATTTGGATAGTTAGTGTCATTGGTAACCCATTACACAACTATATTTTAAGAATGTAAGGTCATGGTTGGTTTGTCATTTTCGACCTATTTTCAATTTTTCGTTTTCGAAAACGTGGAAAACGAGTTTGGTTCGTCGTTTTCAAAAACACATTTTCGAAAACGAGTTAAAATTTATAATTGAAAATGCAAAATGACTTTTTATCGTTTTCAGTTATAAATGTCGAAAACCCTCAAAACGGGCTGTTTTCGGGGAAAACAAAAAATCGTTTTGAAAATGAAAATGGAAAATGAAAATGAAAACCAACCGCACACTAAGTTTATTTCTTGTGTTTTGAAGGCAAGGAATTACAGTGCTAACGGAACTATGACTTGAGGACCAATGTTTCAATTTGCCTATATAAAATTAACTTAGGGAATGTATTCAATTTGGACTTTTTAAGACATTGATGGACTCCTTTTAAAGGATGACTTCTGTAGATTTAGTTGATTTTTTAATGAATTTGTATGAAATTATTGGAAATCTTTTATAGATTTTTATGAATTTTTATTTTAAAACTATTATACACTTTTATAGAATTCAAAAGACTTTTCAAAACTTTCATTTAGAATATAATTCATGTAAATTTAGTACAATAGTATGAAATTCTCGTATACGAAATGTTGGTTCCCACTTAATTTCCCTTCCCCTCATCATACAATAAAAAAAATTTAAAAAGAACAAAAATTTAAGATCTTAAATAAATAAATAATCATTTAAAAATAAATTTAATATTCAGTATTATTAAATATAATATACCTTTAAATAATAAAAAATCAATATATTTAAATATAATTATTAATTAGTCTATATAAAGTTTTATAATTTAATTAAAAATAGATTTTTTTTCACAAAAAATGAATGATAAAAGGAAAAAAGTTTAAGAATCTATTTTAACTTTTTTAATAGAAAATAGAGATAAAAAAATAAGAGAGAGAGAGAGATAGAAACAAATATAATCAATAGAGAACAATTTTAATTATAACTCCAATGTTTGTAGAAGGAAAAGGAAAGAGAAATATTGACCCAAAAAATTATAATTTTTTTTTTTTTTTTTGGGAAAAGTTTTCCAAAATCTTGTGATTAATTGAGAGACAATTTTTGAGATTTTATTCTAGTAATTTCCACTTAGAAGTTACTAACTTGGAGACTTTAATAAAAGCCTCTAAAAATCATTAAAATTTGAATATTTCAAGAATTATAGAAGCTTCTAAAAATTTTAATTGAATAAACTATAATTTTTAGAGATTTTTATAAAAGTCTCAATTAAATATATAATATCTTTAGAATCCAAACAAGCCCAAGCTTAAGCTTATACCATCGTAAAGCCTCTTAGGGAATAATATACCATCGTAAAGCTTCGTTTGATATCATTTTTTTTTTAAAATGCATTTTTCTCCTTTTTTTTCAGCAACACATTCTTTATTAAAATAATATTATACGTAAATTCAAAATTTTTTCTTATTTTTTAACTACACATTTTTTATCAATTTACTATTCAAAAATACATTTTTACAAGAAAATGGGTATCAAACAAACACTCTCGAATGTATCTAAATTTTTTAAATTTTAGAAAGTTATAAAGTCCAATTAAATACGCCAAGACGATAGTCTCTGCCATTTATTTTCGATTCAAAACAAACTCAAAAAATAAGGCGGCTACTCACCTCAATCATTCCCGCCACTGTATAAATTCTCTTTCTCTCTCAGAGATTCAATCGGAAAGCCAAATTGAGGAGCACCGCTTCGCTAGATATGGTATGGCAAAGTACGTTGCGTTTTTATGCGATTTTTATTTGTTGGATTTAACTCTAGTATTTTGTTATAATAGATCCTAACTGTTAACTGTTTTAATTTAATAGAGGGAGATCTGCGTATGATATGATTTGAGTTGTGTGAAGTTCATCGAGAAATCTCGATTTCATTTTGGCGCTGTGTAAAGTTTGGTATTGTTTGGATTTTAGAAAGTAGATGTTTTAATTGATTTATCAAACTGGAAATATATCATGTTTGGACCCTAACTTTTCACTGTTTTAATAGATGGAAACCTGCTCATGCTTTGATTTGTGTTCTTTGAATTCCATTAAAAATTCTCATTTTCACTGCTACGCATTTAGTTTTCATATTTATTTTAAATCACGCATTTACCCAAAAAAATATTTTACATGTAAAATCAAAACTTTTCCTTACTTTTTAGCCACACACTCTCCAATAAATGATTATTTAAAGTATCACTTTTTGAAATAATTGTCATCAAACAGGGACTTAATTTTAATTGCACTTACATAAATTATACATGCAGATAATAGTTCAAATTTCAATTTATACAAATCTACAATATTTAAAAAAATGAAGGATTGATGTGAAACTTTTGAATATTAATTTTACCCTTATACATTTAGCTATATGCCCAATATACCATTACTTAATTTTAATTTTGTTAATATTTACTTAATAACATTAATTTAATTATTCAAAATGAAATAAAAAATTCATTTGCTTTTTTTCATTTGTAAATAATTCCCTAAACTAATCTTTTTAATCTTGCATTAATTTTTATTAACATCATTAATTCAATTCATTCAATATGAAATTGAAAAACAGGCATTGTTTTGAGGAAATCAGAGGATGGCTTTCAATTCTCCTTTTGATATTAAAAAATAAAAAATAAAATCTTTTAATTTAATCAATAGCATTAATTTTAAATAATTTTGAAAAATGAATGTTGTTAAGGAGCTCAAATAAGGTCTTAAATAACAAATAAGGTCTTAGATAACCATTCATAGAAAACAAAAATATATTTTTTAATTTGATTAACAGCATTAATTCAATTATCTTAAACTTTAATTTCCACAATTATAAAACACACGTTCTAATTGATGAACCACGTTTTTTTTCGATGGAATGGTGATTAATTCAGCCATCAATGTCTATGAGCTTCTTCAATGCCTAGATTTGTATAAATTCAATGTACCCTCTCGATTTTTGTGTCTAATATTCACACGTGTGCATACTTTACTTTCTAAACTTGATTAATTGACATATTTATATTCAAATAGATCATATAAGAATTTTGTTAAGTGAAGATAAGAATTCCTTTTTTTCCCTTCAGATCTTTATATGTTTTGATTTGTAATTGCATTCTGTATTTTAAATTTTTATCACTATTCATGAAAATGTTATAAATGATTTTTTTTCTTTGAATTTAAAGATTTATTATGTTGTTATTGGTGATGATGTGCAGCTTGAGGGAGTAGATTAAGGCTTGAAGACTACAAAATTGACGATCTAAACTGTGGTCATCAATTTTTGTACATAATTTGTCCTACATTTTTATAGATTTTATGGTTTTTTTCCCTTGAAGATAATAACAAGAATATTGCCTAAGCGTACGAAATTAAAGGATTATATCACGAGTGTCGAAACAATAGAGGAAAATCGAAATGGCCTACATTGAGGCATGTGATTCAAAATTGCAAATTTATATTTAGAGCCCGTTCGAACCTTATTATTTCCTAAAAATGTATTTTGGAATAGTAGATTGATGAATAATGTGTGATTAAAAAATAAAGAAAATTTTTATGTTTGTATGTAATATTATTTTATTGAAGAATATGTAGTTGAAAATTAAAAAAAAAATTATTTTAAAAATAATGATGATCAAACAATGGCTTGTACACAATTTTTTATACATAAGAATATCCACCCTCTCACATGACATGGGGACCACTCGAATATTTTATTCTAGCGAACCCCACCCACGTGAGAGGGTGAACACCCCTATATACCAAAAATTATGTACCACAAGCGTTTCCCATGGAATTAATTTCACCTACCGTCACCAAAGTTCGTTAAAAATTTTAAAATAGCTATTGAAGTAATTTTCTTAATTATAGAAATAGTTAGTAAAATTTTCAGCAGTTGCACTAACAATTACCCAGCAAGCAACATTAATTCCTAAATGTAATTGTTAATTTCAACGTTGACACAGAAGGTAGGGCATTTTTGTATCACAACGTACTAGTTAAAGCTATTACTATTAGCGTCAACAATGGAATTTAATAATAATGCGTAAGGTTTTGAGTTAACGTTTTCAGTTGAGTGATCATTATATAATTTTCAAAAATTTAAGTGACTAACAAACTTTAACGATCATTACTAAAATTAACTCTATTAAAATATAAACATAACCATATATAGTGACACGCTATTACAACCAATCAAAGATTAACAATATTAATAAAAAATAAGTTCGAATTGAGACCTTGGGGTGTGGTTGGGGTGAACATACGGGGAAAATGAAGCATGTTAGCAATTTTTTGGAAAAAAAAAAAATCATATAAAAAAAATCTCATATTTCATCGTAGTCCAGTGTCTCCACCTCCAAAATCACTAATTAAATAATCAATTTTTCAATCATTGCGATCATGCAAATTTTCACTAAATTATCATATTATTATGAAAGAATGTCTTTGTTTAGCTTTTTGGTCACTTGAGCAAAGTTGAGAAGTTAAACATAACATGACTTTATAAAGTTAGACAATGAGAACATTGAGAATACCACATGATAATTTATGGATATTTGGATAGTTAGTGTCATTGGTAACCCATTACACAACTATATTTTAAGAATGTAAGGTCATGGTTGGTTTGTCATTTTCGACCTATTTTCAATTTTTCGTTTTCGAAAACGTGGAAAACGAGTTTGGTTCGTCGTTTTCAAAAACACATTTTCGAAAACGAGTTAAAATTTATAATTGAAAATGCAAAATGACTTTTTATCGTTTTCAGTTATAAATGTCGAAAACCCTCAAAACGGGCTGTTTTCGGGGAAAACAAAAAATCGTTTTGAAAATGAAAATGGAAAATGAAAATGAAAACCAACCGCACCCTAAGTTTCTTTCGCGTGTTTTGAAGGCAAGGAATTACAGTGCTAACAGAACTATGACTTGAGGACCAATGTTTCAATTTGCCTATATAAAATTAACTTAGGGAATGTATTCAATTTGGACTTTTTAAGACATTGATGGACTCCTTTTAAAGGATGACTTCTGTAGATTTAGTTGATTTTTTAATGAATTTGTATGAAATTATTGGAAATCTTTTATAGACTTTTATGAATTTTTATTTTAAAACTATTATACACTTTTATAGAATTCAAAAAACTTTTGAAAACTTTCATTTAGAATATAATTCATGTAAATTTAGTACAATAGTATGAAATTCTTGTATACGAAATGTTGGTTCCCACTTAATTTCCCTTCCCCTCATCATACAATAAAAAAAATTTAAAAAGAACAAAAATTTAAGATCTTAAATAAATAAATAATCATTTAAAAATAAATTTAATATTCAGTATTATTAAATATAATATACCTTTAAATAATAAAAAAATCAATATATTTAAATGTAATTATTAATTAGTCTATATAAAGTTTTATAATTTATTTAAAAATATATTTTTTTTCACAAAAAAATGAATGATAAAAGGAAAAAAGTGCCTGTTTGGCACCCATTTTTATCAAAATGCATTTTTCTCTCTCTTCTTTTCAACCACACATTCTTTATTAAAATAATATTATACACCTGTCCTCAGCTCTCTCAGATTTTCAGATCAATCTTTATAAGTTTTCCTTGTACAGACCTCATACCAAGCCTGACTAATAGATTTGTTTAGAATCCTAATATTGGAATTATGAATGGGGGAACTTAATCAGTTTGATTGGTTTTAGAAATCCAATAAAAGGAGTATGTTGGAAGCCTTTTATATGCCCCATGTAGTGTTTTAAACGGATTGTGATTCAAGGGAAATGTACATAATGAAGTGAGATTTTATGGCACATCTGGCTGTTGATTTGAGGCATCTATTTTAGAGGGCTTTAAATGAGATGAGCTGAGGAGTGAGAACTTATCTGGAGAGGAAGTATGCTGTGTAGCCAACTTGATGGACTAAATCAAATGTAACTTTGTGTAAGGAAATCTGATAATAGAAGCTCGAAGGTGTAATATTTACTTCTTGGCTACCGTTTGTATGATGCCCATATGCATGTATGTAGAGTTTTATAGTATAATTGTTGGATACAATGCCTTAGGCCCTCAATAGAGAATGCATGTCCTTGTTTCTTTGTTTTTCATTTTTCTTTCCCTGACCAGTTGGAAAAGAATCTGTTAACACTGTGCATTATATTATACTGTTTTATAGACTTGTACTTGAGACATAATTTTTGTAGCTTCCAAGTGGAAATCTATGTGCAATAATATCAGTATACTGTATAAGCATCAAAGCCTGGTTTCAACTGTTTTTTTGGGGGATTTGGCATGAATTTTTAACAAGAATAAATTTTAAAATATTTTTTTATATGCAGCGAACTTGCCATGAGATCCACTAGACAGGTAAAGAGGAAGTTCAATGAAGCTTGTAAAAAGCAAAATGAAAGCAGATGTGGTTCTGTGAAGAAATCTGCAAATGGAACTGGCAGAGGAGATAGAAAATCAGGTTAGGCAACTGAAAACCATATACAAAACACATTAGTATATTGATGAGTTTGTTCAACTAACTATTTAGATCTATTCATTTGATAACTTTCTTGAATCTTTAGTTTTGTGCATTTTGACTTTCAAAGCCCTGTCTGTCTGTTGTTGTATTGTGCATTCTCTGCAAATGGAGACCATGTTGATAAGGTCTAGGCATATATCTTTTGTAGTTTCCAGGCGGTCTTTCTCATTTCACGAATCTTCTTTTCCACAGCAGAATGTAAATCTATAATGCTAGATAGGAATCCGGGGGTTTTACCATGCAGAGTTGCTCCATTATCTGGTCAAACGATGCCAAGTAGCATATTTGCTATAGAGAGTGGGAGAAATCCTCCGTCAGATTTTCAGATTCACCAGAAAAATTCATCAGCAAAGATTATACTGCAGCTTTTCCCCTTAAATGAAAATACTCGACTGGGATTGGAAAAGGTCTTATCTTAATCCCAAAGCATGAATTCTTTTACATCAATTCAGAAATGCTCACTGGGCCACAAACATGCTACAGCTACAGTGACCAGGACAATTGGTCATTTATTTGCAGTATTTTACTATTAAAAATTGAATTTTTTCATTTGGCCTTCATCTTACAGGATGGTTATAATCCATTTTTGGAACTCTCTTTAAGTGCTGGGAAGAAGATATCGTCGGTGATTAAGCACTTGAATTCAAAATGGGGAAGTTCAAGTATGGCAAATGGCCAGCTTATGCTCTTTCCCTACAATATGAAAACAGAGAAAATTGCTTCCTGCAGAAAGTGGACTTCAAATGACTCTGGCGTTACTGCAGGAGAGGTCTATGTTGCAGTGGAAAGTCCTTCAATTTTCCGCCTAAGGTCTGAAGCTTGTTGCTACACCATTGCTTTGTGTTCAGTTTTAACAGTTCAGTCTTTTAACTTACTTGATTTTGCCTTCCAGGTATGGTTGGTTCTCCAATATTCAGGTGGAGATGTTTGGAGCAGCTTCAAAATCTAGTCCCGTTAAGTTTCAAATAGAGTCTGACAGCAATAAGAGAAGCTGTAGCAGAGTTTTAGAGATTACTGAAAATCGAGATGAAAAGGGCAAGTTGACTGTTGAAGACACCAGAGATCCAGTCAATATAATTGAAGTAGTAGATTCAGACGTGAATGAGCTGAAGACGTTGGATCATGCGGTAAGTTTTGATTCTCTTCTACAGTTTTACTGCTATCTTTTTAGTTGAATAAGATCAAATCCATAAAAATTTGGATCTAGTTCGGTATTTCGGTGGGTCTAACTTCAGTATGTTAAACTGGATGGTTTTTCACGAGTTTTTCCATGCAATACATCAAAAAAGTCAGTAAAAGGACATGTTTGGAACACATATACTACTCTTGATACCATAATGCCGGGAGAAGTTGTGGAAAGAATGGCGACTTTCAATTGTAACATAGCACTCTCTTTCTATTGGATACACTAAGGTTGAGGGAGGATGAATTTTGGCTTCTGATATGGCTTGCTTGGTAGAAACTTTGTAATCCAAGTAAACGGATTTGTGGGTATAAATCCAACTTCGGCGTTATGAACAGGTGAACAAGAATTGTGTTTTATGAAAGTAGAGTGAATGAAGCACGAAGTCCTGATTTTATGCGATGAAAAACAATTGGAATTAGACAGAGAAGAAGAAAAAATAATAATACTGAAGCAAACTTAGGTTTTTCAAATTTCAGTAACAATAAAGGGAGGTTGCCTCGGAAAAGTGATTGGAAGGTTCAAATAATTCACTTATAATTTCAAAATTTATCACACTTCAAATGCTGTTGTTGCATTTCTGTCTTTGCAAGAACAGCTGCTCAGAAGTTCATATAACGTTTCCATTTTGGATTTTTGAATATTTTGTAACACGTTAGAATTTAATCAGATGAAGATACTTAAAAAAAATTTATGCCAAATATGATTAAAGCTAAATGAGATGGAAGTTTTTTTTTTTTAAATCATTTTCGCAATATCAATAACCTCAATTCTTTAACTAGAGAATCTAAGGTCCGAAGCATGTTGCAAACACTTCTTCCAATTTGTCTTCACATTCTGTAATGTGAAGGGTCAACTCCTTGGTAGAATGTTAAAGAGTTTAACCATCATACTGCATGAGCAGTTCCACATGCATATTGAGATGCTGATGCACGGAATACTTCTCTTTAATGGACTGGGTGGATTTCGCTTCTAGCACATTTTTTTGCTTACTGTAAATATGTATTCTCTTCCTGCTAGAATGATGAAGCGACAACTCATGTTGGCCGCCCTATACAATCAACAGTGCACTGGGATGATAGTTTGACCAATTTGAGCATCGGAGGTTTGCTATCTGAAGTATCATTGCAGGGAAAGATCAGCAACTCTGTGAATAAATCTGGCGTGCCACCAATTGGATCAATTTCTGATATGGGCATTGGAGGCATGCTGTCCGAAGCATCTTTGCAGGGGAAGATTGGCAATGCTGACTTGAAATTGGATAGTGAATCAAGTTTGCAGCCAATTATTTCAGCTTCTAATGATATAAGCATAAGAGGCTTGCTGTCTGAAGCATCTCTGCTTTCAAGCAAGAGCAAATCGGGGGTGCAACAAACTATGGAGGGGAGTTCTGCACCATTACAGTCTCCGTGGGATGATAATCTAACTACCTTAAGCATTGGAGGCTTGTTGTCTGAGGCATCCTTGCAGGAAAAGGTTAATGGTTGTCATTCGGGATTAAAAGGGAGCAAATCAAGCTTTCAGCCTAGTACATCTTTATCCGATTCATTTGATGCGTTTATTGCTGCCCAACTGAATTCACATTCTCAGGCCTTGAAACCTGCATCCCATGAGTCGCATTCATCTATCTTGGATGCTGAAGAGACATGTCACGCTTTTCCTGTTCGGAAACTTCCATCATCAAGCAAGGATACTATAACTTCAAATAGAGGAGCCGGTTCTCAGGGATTTAGTAATGATACAAGTTCAGAACCATTCAGATTTCCTAATATTGCCGAGGTTTGTCTGGACATCCTCCTTTCATTGACTCTTACTGCAACGAATTTCTTAGTTTTCAAACTTCCATTGCATGAATATTAAGTGGTAAAAAGTAGGGATGGCAAGAGGCAACATGCTGGGTTGAGGTCGGGGCAGCCATTCCCGTCCCCCACACCGTCATCCATTTTTGTCTCCTTACCCTGCCCTATACCCAGTGTGAAAATCATATATATATTTTTTTAAATTGTAGAAAATTCATGTTTCCTCGAGAAATGATGATAATTCTTTTCCTTTTGCGTGATAAAAAACTTAGCCCTTGTTTGAGCCCCATTTTGAGGGAAAGAATGTATTTTTAAATAGTAATTGATGGAGAATGTGTGGTTAAAAATTAAGGAAATTTTTTAAGTTTGCGTGTAATATTATTTTATTGAAAAATGTGGGGTTGAAAATGAGTTTGGAAAAATTTTTTTTTTAGAAGAATGGGGTTCAAACAAGGGCTTAGATTTTGAGATGAACTTTAAATGAGGTGGGAAAGGGGTAGGGACAATGTTCCCCGTACCTGCCCTCCCCCCATCTCGGGGCAACGACCCCCTCCCCAACTGGGTATAATGGTTTTTTTGTCATCCCTGAAAAAAGAGATGATGAAGCAGGTGGATTGGAAGAAAGTAGGAAAAGAAAAAATAGGACTAATGGTCCTTGACTCCAATTGAAATCATCAATATCTTGTGTTGGAGCAAAATGAATAGACGTCACTTCAATTTCTCAATTTCATATTTATAATACCCATATGAAATTGAATATCTTGGTTTGGTTTTGTGACAAAAAATACATTTTTTGGTACAGATTACTTAATGAGAAAAAGACAAATCACGATTCATATAAAAATACCTACATTTTTCAGAAGTAAAAAGCTAAATGAACTAGTATTAAACTGTTCCCAAATTATCATCTTCCCATGAAATTGTACATTGATAATCAAGTTGAGATGGAGGATGTGATATATAGATAAACTAATATGATAGAATAATGGATGACGAGTTTCTTTCAGTTTCTTATCAGAAAACTAGGGAACAGACTACTTTCTGGACCTCCGAGGAAAGTAAAAGTCCAACTGCTCAATTTTCCCGTCATCCTATTGAAAATTCTAGAGTAATCCTGTAGTAACAGCCGTGTCTGCAATTAAAATTTGACCTTATCAACCTTTGTTTTTTAATTCAAAATGCCCTAGAATTGTTTTTGCTTCCGAATTCCTACGTATGATCTGTTAAACATAGCAACAGTGGAGACCTACAAATTAGTTTTTGCTAGTAAAATGCCATCTTGGATAGAACATATCTTATACTTTCAATTGGAGTGTAAATGCAATTCATTCTTTACTAAATTTCCAGTAGGACGAAAATCTGAAATAGCTTAGATGAAATTCTGAAAATCACATAATGAACTATAAAGAGCAATCTGGTATTGAGAAAATGGCTGGCATTTGTTGCTTAAATATATTCATGCTAATTTGTACCGTGTTTATGTTTCTTTTTCCTGTTTTGAGGAGAAATTTTATGTTGGTTCCTTTCCTAGATGAACAACCAATCGGTGCTTGCTAACGTTTCTTCTTCACAAGAACTGAAGACAAATCCTTTATCTCGATCACGAGGAGTCTATGACGAAGAAAGTAACCTTGGACTATCAAGCATCAAATTGGTAAATGCATCCTCCCATTATTAAATTCACGTGCTTGTAGAATGAATCTCTTGAACCCTTTGATCTTGGACTACCTTCACTACAGGTCAGGAGTGGTGATAGTATTAGTATCAGTGAAATTGTTCGATAGCAGCTCCTCATTGAAGATCTGCTCAATTTAAAAGGAAAATCCATCAGCTCGAGGGTGAAAACTTCTGGAAAACTGAATACTGGATATTTGATTGGTCAAAGTAGCTTATTCTATTGCAATTGGACGATTTTTGACTAGACTTATTGCGTGGCATTTTCATCCATTATGCTGGAAAAGATGCATGTTGGAAAATATTAGGGGAAACATCAAGAACTTTCATGTAGTCCTAGGATTAGGAGCAGCAGATGGCATGGTTGCTTAAAGGTAAATGTATTACAATGAATAGAATCCATGGTAGAAGATTTTAGTTATGTAATTTCAGAATAAGATCAGTGTCTAAATGAATATTACAGTACTGCTGAGAAAATAGTGTATACCTTCAGGCAGGTCCAATAGTGAGTCAAACAATTTCGTCATTGTGAATGCTAGAGATTTTGTTAACACATTTCTTATCGTTTTTTCATTTACTTATAGTTGGAAGATATGCTATTTAATTTACTGTTTCATAATAGTTGTTGGTCTAAATTGCTCTTTCTTTTTGGAAAATTGCTGTTTTCTAGAAGTTGGGGACTGAATTGCTATATATAAATAGTTAGAATTAATGAAAATTTATTCATTAGTAGTTGGATGACTGAATTATTATTTCCTTATACTTAGATGGCTGAATTCATCATTAACAGTAGTTGGATGACCGAATTTAACTGCTCTGAATGACCAAATTTGACTTTACAGAAGTTAAAGGATGAACTTGTTAAAAGAAATTCGATTTTCAAGGTAGTTAGATGACCAAATTTGACTTTAAAAAAGTTGAAGGATGAAATTGCTGTTCAAAGATAGTTGGATGAATAAATTTGATTTTTGAAGAAAAAGTTGAAGGATCGAATTTTTTCGTTAAAAGATGGTTGGATGATGAAATTTGACTTTCCACTTCCAAAGAGATGAAGGGTGAAATTTTTGTTAAAACATAGGTGGATGACAAAATTTGACTTTCCAAAAAGTTGGAGAAAATTATTGTTAAAAGATAGATGGATGATCGAAATTAACTTTCCTGAAAGATGAAATTGCCCTTCAAAGATAGATTGATGACGAAATTACACTTTTGAGAAAGATGGAGTACGAATGTTGGTCAAAAGATAGTCGGATGACCAAAATTTACTTTCCAGAATGTTGAAGGATGAAATTATTTTTAAAGTATAGTGGGGTCACCAAAATTGACTTTTTAGAAAGATGGAGGATGAAATCGTTTCTTAAAGGATAGTTGGATGACCAAATAGGACTTTCCACAAAGTTTAAGGATTAAATTATTGTTAAATTATAGCTGGATGACCAAAATTGACTTTTGCAAAAGATGGAGGATGGAATTGTCGCTAGTTGATAGATTGTGACCATTTTTCACTTTGCAGAAACTTGAGGATATAATCATTGTTAAACGATAGTTAGATGACCGAAATTGATTTTCTGGAAAGATTGAGGATGAAATCATTGTCACCAGATAGCCGACCAAAATTCACTTCTACTAAAGATAAAGGACGAAATTTTCGTTCATAGATAGATTGGTGACGAAATTTCAATTTGCAGAAAAATTGAGGATGTAATAGTTGTTAAACCATAGTTGGATACTTGGATGACCAAATTTTACTTTTCAAAAGGTTGAAGGACGAAATTGTTGTTAAATGATAGTTGGAGGACAAAAATTGACTTTCCACAAAGTTCAAGGATTGAATTTTTACTAAAGTACAGTTGGATAACCGAAATTGACTTTGCAGAAAGATAGAGGATGACATTGTTCTTAAACGATAGTTGGATGACTAAAATTGACGTTGAGAAAGTTGGACGATGAAATTGTGGTTACTAGATCGTTGAATGACGAAAATAGACTTTCACGAAAGATCGAGGACAAAATTTGTCATTTGTAGATATGTCGGTGACTAAAATTTGATTTGCAGAAAGCTTGAGGATGTAATTGTCGTTAAACGATAGTTGGATGCAATATTTTGACTTTTGATAAAGTGAAAGGTTGAAATTGTGGTTATAGGATAGTTGGATGACCATAATTGCCTTTCCAAAAAAATGAAGGATGAAATTTTCGTTAAATTATAGCTGGACTACCCAAATTGATTTTCTTGAAAACTAAAGGATGAAATTGTTGTCAGTAGATAGTTATTGACCAAAATAGTCATTAACGAAAGATGGAGGCCCAAATTGTGGTTACTAGATAGTTTGATGGCCAAATTTGGCTTTGTAGAAAGTTTGAGGATGTAATTGTTGTTAAACTATAGTTTAATGATCAAATTTGACTTCTTTCTAAGTCGAAGGACGAAGTTGTGGTATAAGCATAGTTGAATGATCAAAATCGACTTTTCAGAAAAATTAAGGATAAAATTATCGTGAAAGTATAGTTGGATGACCGAAATCTACTTTCCAGGAAGATAGAGGATGCAATTGTTCATAAATAATAGATGGATGACCAAATTTGATGTTCTGGGAAGATTGAGGATAAAATTGTGCTCACTAGATAGATGGATGATCCAAATTGACTTTTTAAACGATGGAGGACGAAATTGTCGTAAGTAGATAGTTTGGTGAGCAATTTACTCTTTTTGTAGTTTGAGGATGTAATTGTTGTTAAACAATAGCTGAATTACCAAATTTGACTTGGTATGAGTTGAAGGATGAAATTGTTGTTAACGGATAGTTGGATGATCGAAATTGACCTTTTCGAAATATTAAGGATGAAATAGTTTTGAAACGAAAGTTTGGAGACCAAAATTGGCTTTCTAGAAAGATTGTGGATGGAATGGTTGTTAAAAGATTGTTTTATGGGCAAAATTGACTTTTCAGAAAGATGGATGATGCAATTGAAATTAATAAATAGCTTGATGACTAATTTCTAGTTTGAAGATGAATGACCAAATTGCTATTTATTAATAGATGGAGTGCTGAATTATTTTATCGTAATAGTTGAAGGACCCAACCATAAATAAAACCAAACCCAATCTAGTCCAAGCCCAGAATTAATCTAAACCTCCGAACCATGCACTGCCGAACTAGAAAAAACCAACCCTGCCCATCACCTTCAACCCGAATAGCTTTGCAATTCCAGGGAAATACATAAAAATAGCCTATAGAAAAGGGTCATTTTTCCAAAATGACATTTGATCAATTTACATACCTAAAATACCCTTCATTAAGATATTACATAACAAGTCACTATAATATAAGAATTTTCTAATTTAGTCCTTAAAATTAAATATTACTTGGATTTTGATAGTTTATTTTGATTTTTTTGATTTATATGATTTTTGTTCGCTCTAAGTAGCCCCCTAATTGGTATCATAGCCATAGAGATCATGAGGAAACTCATAAGAAATAGATTACTTGAAGAAATAAAAATCTTTAGATCTAGGTTAATACTTAGATTTTATATAAATTTAATAAATAATAGATTAATTATTATGAAGTTAAAAGAATATTTAGGTTATACATCTTTAAAATAATAATTAATTATAATATACAAATACTTATATTTACATCTTGATAAAAACATAGAGATCATGAAAATTAAAGTAAGGAAAATAAATAATTATTGGCATTTAAAAGAAGAAAGATGAAGTTATATATTTTTAAAATCTATTCATAATAAATTAAAAATAATGACACTAACAATAATTAAAGAATTACCTAGAGAAATAAAATAACAAATATTAGAAATATTAATAATAGAAACAATAAAGGATATATATACATATGAAAAAATTATTAATATATATGAAGATGAAGAAATTAATTTATATTACAAAGAGAAGTATGAGTATAAGTGATAATGCAAATTTAAAATTAAATAAATTACTTATAAAAATGAAAAAAATGCTAGAAGAAATACGAAATATAATGTTAATACCAGATGGAATAAGAATATCAAATAATAGACAATTAACAAAATTAAAATGTGAAAGAGTAAGATTTGAGAGTAAATATTTTAGTATAGTAAAAGAAGAATTAATAGATCCAGATATAGCCAACAGAAGATTTGAAAAAATAATAGATAAAAAAGAAGATAAAAGATGTAAATTAACTTATATGTTAGAAATATGATTTTAATATGTCAATAAGTGAATATATGGAAGAATTAAAGTCATTAATAAAAATGTTGATAAATGATATACAGGATTTAAGAATAAAGTAAGAGAAACAAGAAACAATATAAATATATTAAAAATTGAAATTAGAGAATTAAAAGAAAATAATAAAAATAAAGAAAAGAAAATAGATAAAAAATTAATAGAAAAAGAAATGACTTGAATAAGAAAGAAATATATTGAAAAAAGACAGTGTAATAATAGAAATAGGAAATATGCATGATGAATTTAGAAAAAAATATATTACCAAAAATATTAGGAGAAGAAAAATTTAGAGAAAAAATATTAGAAAAATTAAAAGTAGAAGAAAAAGATGAATGATGAATTAGACTTACTTATAGAAAATTTTGATCAATTAAGTCTAAGTAATATAAGTGAATATCAAATTTTAATGAATACTGGAGGAAGACCTAATCCAGTAGGAACTTCTAAACAAGAATTACAAGATTTAGATGAAAGTTATGCACCTATATATAATAAACCATAGAGACAATTTTTTGATAAAGTAAGAGATAGACGACTACTTAAAGGAAATAAATAACAACTTATTAATGCTTTGGCCGTTGAAGAGGAAGAACAAGAGTCTGGTTGCACGATTCGTCGTTCCTGACCCTGCTTCACCTTAATTGTTATTTGAACAAATCAAAGTTCTATCTTAGAGACATGTTTGAATTAAATGATAATTATGATAAACTTATTAACCATGGAGGAATAAAATTAGATTTACATTGCAAAATAGATACTAAAAAAGCCTTTTTAACTTGGACAGATTCAATGATATTATTCTTTTTATATAATAAAGATGACACATGAGAAAATACTGAAAGAATGATAGATTTCTTAATAGCATACTTTGAAGGAAATGTTAGAAATTAATGGAAAGGAATAAGTAATGATACAAAAACATTAATAAAAGGAAATGCACAAACAAAAATAATAAAATCAGATAGATAAGGTATAAAAAAGTTAATAGAATATATTGCAGATGAATTCTTAGGAGAAAATTGGATAAGAAATGCTGAAAGAGAATAAATAAGAGAAAAAGACAGTGCTATGATTAAACTAATAAATTTAGCAATATGTGATATGTGTAAAATTAAAGAATATACTTGTGAATTTAGAAATTATTATTATGTTCAATTTTATAGTAATGAGAACCAAAAAGTATACCAAGATATGTATTATAATAAATTATCAGGTTCTTGGGGATTATATTTTAAAATAGAATTTGAAAAATATGTTAGAGATAATGTTGGAATACCTAGGACTTTAGGTTCAAGAATAAAATTTTTATTTGAAAGATTTGCATATATATGTCAACAAAGTCAATTAATGAAAAAA